GTCTTAAAGGTGCCACTGGACTGTTTTGGATTGCGAGCGATGGGGGGGGGGACGTGCAGATCTGCCCTCACAGAGGAGGGAGAGTTTGTACCTGAAGGCGGGCCGGTGGTGGGGGGGCTCTGCCACTGACCTGGCTGCTTCTTGCTCCTTGTGGCCCAACTGAGGGCTGCTGGGAGCAGGGGGTGGGGCTTGTTGCATGTGCCTGCCCCCTGGGCTCCTTACTGCCGGAGCTCCGCTCCTGTGCGCTCCCGCAGGAAATGACCCCTGTATCTTGGACACATTGGCTGTTCCTTTTCTCACTGGAGAGTCTTATGCCAAACGGAGTGGTGGAATCAGTTGGCCCGATCCAGGCAAGGTAGTGAAGTGGGAAGAGACCGTGTGGGAGGAACGGTCGAGGTCAGAATGGACGCTGCCTTAACATCCGCTGTATCCATTCTTTGCACCGCTTCCTCTTCTTGTTTGCCGCCCTGGTACATTTGTGTGTCCGTTCTTCCACTCCATCTCTCCCACCATCCCTGCCCGCCTCATCTCCTTCCCCTTAGGATTCTCTCCACTTAGCATAAGAGGGGTCCTGCCCCATAGCTGATCCCCAGTGCGGGGCGCTTCCGGCTCTTCCAGCGAGGAAGTGAGAGAGACGACCCTCCTACAGTCGGCCATAGGCATGCTTTGCTGTGGGGGTGTGACTTGTCTCCTCTCTGGGTCTCCAGAGCAGGGTCTGGCTGGGGACTCTGTTGGTGTGCTCAGTCAATGTCTGTGTCCCCCCCTTTTTCCCCTTGCTGCTGCACCCTAGCTGGACCGCTGGGTCTCCAAGGTACCGTATGCCCTCCTCCCCACATATCCACCTGCCTGTTGGGCTGGGCAGGAAATGTTTGCACTTGGTGACCTAACTGGGAGCACAAATTTGGGGAGGAGGCACTTGAGAGGGGTCAGGCATCTGTTTCCTTCCCACCATTCCACTGCCATGACAACTCCCACCCACCTCCCCCACCCCTTTTCTCACTGTGCGATTGTGGTGGCAATCTGAGGTGCCTAACTATTCCATTGCCATGGTAACCCTATCAGTGTGTGGCATCCTCCGGTAACAGGCCCGGTGCACTTGGCTACCATGGCAACCCTAGCCATTCCGGCCTGCATGGCGAACACAAAGAGCCCATTCTCAGCAGCTTCATTCGTGGTGGCTTCGATGGCATCTGGCAATTTCCGTTGCCATGGCGGCCCTGACCAAATCTCCCCTGAACGGCAGCTGCCGCCAAGGGGAAACAGGGAAATAAATAGGTAAACAAAGAAAGTCAAACTGCTCATAGCTGGATATTCAAAAGCTATTCTCTTTTCCTCCCACTTTAAGGCTAAAGTGCGTGTGGAAAAGACCGAAGGTCTTGGCTTCTGAATAACGTCCCATCTTTATAAGCCCTATAGTGGAGAGAGGCATGATTTATAGACCGTTAGGTTTGTGTGACTATAGCAGGGGAGTCTCCCCCTCCCACCAGGCTTGCCAACGGGCCTGGAGAAAAATGTCCCGTCCCTTTAATAGAGGTTTAATATATGGAGATGGGAAATAGCGGCTAAATATATGGAAACGGCGGGGAAGTAAATAACATTCCAGTAAGCCTCTGTTGAAGAGACAGGATGTTTTCCTCAGCGAGTCGGCAAGCCTGTGCTCCCACCAAGGTGATCCCGACATCTCGTTTTTAGAGGTGGGAGCCAAACGTTATCAACTCAAACATTTTCTCTCCCTCTCCTACCCATTTCCATTCTGCTGGTGGCTGCCCCCCCCCCCACTGCCGCTTCTCCATTTCACTCTGTTCTGCTGTCCCTTGTGAATGTTGCCTGCCCGTAGACTAGAGTTTGTGTCTGGTGGCAGCTAGGAGGGGGGGGGTCCACTTTGGCCCGGAGGAGGGATGGTCTTCCCCTCATGCTCTGGTTTCCACCTCATGACACACACCCCCGGCATGGTGCACTGCTTGGATCTGTGGCACTGGGGACAAATGTTGGGGGCGATGTCTTAGAACAAGGAGGAGTGCAACTTCGGGTGGGCGGGAGCGTGTCTCCAGAAGACAAGATAAGATTCCTAGTAAGAGAACGTTAGCAAGTTCGGTTTTGTTTTTTAATTCCATGACCCTGCAGTAGAGGTAGACTCTGTTTTTGCTGATCCCCTCCCCCTTTCAGTGCAGCTGTTCAAAGGCCTATTACCTCTTCAGTCTGACAGGTCCCAACCGACTCCATAGCGAATCAAACTGTGGGTTTGCCAGTTGAGAGCTCCAAAACAGGACAGGAGAGCGAGAGCACAGATTGTCAAGGGCTACTGATGTCTAACTAGCATAGGTGCACTAGGAGGAGAAAATGGCTCTGGGAAATGGTCCTTTACCCTCAAGGGGGAGGAGAAAGAGCTGGCCTACCTGCACAGCCTGCCCTGCAAAGCATGGAGTTGGGCTGGGTGATGCTTTCCCCACACCATGCAAGCCTTGGTTGGGCTGGGTGACACACCCTTCTCACTGCTGGACCGCTTGGCCCAGGGGGGAGTGGCAGGTGTTGGCCTGTCAGGAGAAGTCCTGGTGGCCACAATGGCTGATCCACCTCTGCTTCCTTGAGATTAAAGACATCTGACATTACTAGGAAAATACAGTGTAAGGGGACAGCCCTGCCTATTCCTAGGCAGAAGAATGGGTAGGTCTGTATGGCATGAGATACCCTGAATAGTGACAGGAAGTTGAATCCAGTGGCTTTCAGGAAATGCCAAGCACGTGAGATGAGGCTAGGAAATAAGTCAGTGCTCTTGGTGGAAGGTGTGAAGACAGGAACAAGAGGTGCAGGTCTTGGGCTGGGGACGAGGGCAAGAGTCCAGTTTTTCCTCCTCGTATTTATCCATGCTCCTCTGTTCCCCCCCCCTTTCCTTTTCCTGTTGGCGTGGGGCCTAGCTGGTTCGTGACAATGCAGATTTGCGTTGTGAGCTTCCTAAACTGGAGAAACGTCTTCGGGCTACGGCTGAGAGAGTTAAGGCCCTGGAGGGTGCACTGAAGGAAGCGAAAGAGGGTGCCATGAAAGACAAGCGACGCTACCAGCAGGAAGTGGACCGGATTAAGGAGGCGGTGCGCTACAAGAACACCGTGAAGCGCAACCACTCTGCACAAATTGGTGAGCGGTCATGTTGGATGTGGGAATCATGAGTAGCATGAAGGACCAGCTAAATCATGGGTCCCCACCAACGTTCCCTCTAAGCTGTGGAGTCTTGTGAGCAAAAATTCTACTTTGTGAGCTACTGGCATTAAAGTTGTGAGTGAGAAATTTGGCTACTGCATAAATTAGTCTGCTCTGGAGCCATCCTTCCTGAGCTAAGACAAAAATGTGTGAGCCGGAGGCTAAAAAACTGTGAGATAGCTCACACTAACTCAGCTTAGAGGGAACAGTGGTCCCCAGCCTTTTTGAGTCTGTGGGCACATTTGGAACTCTGACACGGCATGGTGGGCGCGGCCACAAAATGGCTGCCACGGGAGGCACAGCCCAGCCACAAAATGATTTTGCCACAGTTTTAACTGCAGTAACACAGTGTAGATCTTTGGGCTGTGGTGGCGGCTGCTGCCCAAGCAACATTTAAAAAAAATCTGCACAGCCAATCCGATCTCCTGAAGTCAATCAGAAGCCTTGCCAAGCAAAAGCCCTACCTGGCCTCACCTACTTCCTTAAAACACTTGGCGGGCACCAGAAAAGGTGTCGGCAGGCACCATCTCAGAGCGTGTCATGGCGCCCACAAGCACCACACTGGGGATTCCCTGCGCAAAATTTTGTGTTTGTGTGGTAAGAGGCATAGTTGTGAACTTCTAAATCTTGTTCACGCATCTCTTTTATTTATGCCTGTGCAAGGAAGTAATTTTTGTATAGGTATTAAGTGTGCATTTATACAGATCTTTAGTATTGTGTGTTGTCTGCAATGAACAAAATGCTATTCCCAAGATAGGCAGTAGCAAAAAGGTTCACTTGCTAATTGGAAAGAGGTGGGGAAGCATTAGACAGCTAAATGCATAAAAAATGTTTTCAACTGCTAAAAATCACTTCCCATGAAGGCATTAAAACATTTCAAAATGTGCACAATCTATGTGAAAATGATCAAACGGAAGCAGATAAACAACACCATCTCCATTTAAGTACAGGAAAATTTATGGAAATAAGCAGATGCTGATGCTTCCCAAAAGTGGTAGTGTTACAGTGCCCACGCATCCCCCTCTTCCACTCACTCAAGATTCCCCTGGGGAATTTTTCAAGATTACAATCGCCATTATACTTCAAGAGATCCTGAACAATTCCCCATTTTAGCTATTAGAAATATGGGCAGGGAAGGGTCCTTAAAGGATATAAGAGGTAACATATGTGATTTGTTATTTCTCTAAGAAAGGGGTCCTTTATAATCAGATAACTGCTTTGGAACTGTAAAAGATATGGTGTTCCCACAATGACTCAAAATTAGGATACTTTAAATATTTTCAGCTCTCTAAAACAGGGCGTGGTGTGGTACAGTCTTCAGTTTGGCTATATGACATGTGGAGGAGTTATGGCTCTGTAAGTTGAGCATCTGCTTGTCATGCAGAAGGTCAAGGTTCAACCCCTGGCATCTCCCATGAAAAGGATCAGGTACTGGGTGATGGGTGATGGGAGGGACCTCAGTATCTGAGACCCCAGAGCAAGGGCGTAGACTTTCCAATTTTCCGGGGGGGGCTGGGGCTGGGCCAGAGGCATTGCTAAGTCATTAAAATGTGTGATGGTCTCTGCTGAGTGATGCAAGCCTGCTACTTTGGGGGGTGTTCCCGGAGGGGGCAGGGCATCCCCAGTGTGATGACATCACATTGGGGATGTCCCGGTTTCAAGCCCTGCCCCCGTGGGAATGGTCCTGCCAGCTGCGAGCTGCAGTCGGAGGGCCCCGCGCGCCCGGTCTCCAAGTGGCATTGCAGCTCGGAGATTGGGCACGCGGGGCCCTTTCGCCCCGGCTGCCTGCACTTAAAGGATTCCCTTTAAGTGCACGCAGCTAGAGGGCCCCATGCACCCGACCTTGGGCGCGGGGCCCTCAGCTACCCCTCTCAAGAGAGAAGGGAGGGGGTGGCTGCGGGTGTCGGGGCTTGGGGGCGGGGCTTCCCCCACCGGCCAGCTGGCCGGCAGCAGGTTGAAACCCCCCCCAAAAGCAGATAACCCCTGCCAAACTGGGGAGTCTGGCAGCCCTACCCTGGCATGAACATAATTGGTGGGGCCACACTCTGCACCACCATAGCCAGTCCGCCTGGAGCCCCCCTGCCTGTCCTTCTGCTGGAGTGCTTGCAGGAGAAGAGGGCTCCTGCTGCCTGTCAGCTGGGTCTCAGTGACTGCTGCTGCCCTGGGCCCCAGCAGACAGGTGGATTTGCCACCTCCATGCCTTGGGGGGATGTGCAGGCAGCCAAGAGTACCCACCAGGCCTCAGGGGATGGCAAGCTGCCGAGCTCTTTCTGCTTCCCAACTAGGGTTTTCAACTCTGGGTTGGGACACTCCTGTAGATTTGGGGGTGGAGCCTGCGGAGGGTGGGGTTCTGGAAGCAGAGGGACCTCAGCAAGGTACGACTATAATAGACTGCATCCTTCAAAGCAGCCATTTTCTCCAGGGGAACTGATCTCTGTGAACAATTCTGGAGATGAGTTGTAATTCCAGGAGATCTCCAGGCCCCACCTGGAGGCTGGCAACCCTACTTTCAGTTCACCCAGAAATTGTGCAGGCCAAGAGAGTAGGCAGGGTGTTCTTAAATTCAGGGTCATTTGTTCATGTGCTCAGTCTTGTATTTTTGGAGAGGGGTCCTTTTCTATACAGGGTTGTCTTCTTTTCATGTAAATACGGTATTCGAGTTTTTGAAACTAGCAGTTCAGAGATCATAAAAACGTGTCGACATTCATGTTCAGCAAGAGGATGCTGGAAATTCCTTTGGTCAGGATGAAAGTACTGATATCCTCCCACCCCTATTTATTTCTCTCTACCTCTTTCTAGCAAGGTCGGCTAGCGATGACCCTGAGTAGGGAGGGTAAGGTTTCCCTTGCTCGAAAGCCAGTTGAAATCCGTAAACAGGTAAATAAATGTGTGTCATTACTCTATGCCATTTGTGTCCCTTTGCAGCCAAGCCGGTGAGGCCAGGGCACCACTCAGCTTCATCTCCCACCAACCCCTATGGTGTCCGCAACCCCGAATGCATCAGCTACACCAACAGCCTCTTCCAGAACTATCAGAATGTCTACCTGCAGAATGCTGGCAGCTCCGTGCCTGACGGCTAGTGAGTATCCTTTGCCCCGAGATACATTCAGAAGGGCCATTCCAAATGGATTAGTCTGTAGCAGTCCGGTGGTACTTTTTAACAAACCTTATCCAAGCACAGGTTTTATTAAGCTGCTTCCGCACAGCAACAGGGCTCTCAGGGTTACTCCTGAATGTCTCTGCAGCCCATGGTGGGTTTCCGCACAACTTTCCTGCACAAGCACCCCACGGCCATTTCATTCCCTACAAAAGGTGCCCCCCCCTTCATTAGTAGTTTACATATCGCTACAGTCAGGGCTATTTTTGGGCAGGAACGCCCAGGAACGCCCAGCAGGAACTCATTAGCATAATAGGCCACGCCCAACAGCAGAAACTCATTAGGATTGGCTACTTTAGGGGTGTGTGGCCTAACATTTAACAAACCTTATCCAAGCGCAGGTTTTATTAAGCTGCTTCCGCACAGCAACAGGGCTCTCAGGGTTACTCCCGAATGTCTCTGCAGCCCATGGTGGGTTTCCGCACGACTTTCCTGCACAAGCCCCCCATGGCCATTTCATTCCCTACAAAAGGGCCCCCCCCCTCATTAGTAGTTTACATATCGCTACAGTGCAATTCTGTCAAATACCAATTACGGGGAAGAGAACAGAAAAAGTCCTCTGTTAGTGCATCTACGTCTGTGAACAGCAGCCAGCAATGTGGGAAGGACCAGGAAAGATCTACAGTTTCCATATGGCAACATCATAGTAAATCATGGCGGATATAATTTGGGTTGTAAGATTTGAAGTAGAAGGATGAGAGGCAGGTCTGGGCCACACAGAAGGGGATAGTCCCACCCTACCCCCCACACACACTAAGTTCTTTGCAAAGAGACATGTCTCTGCACCTTGCCTCATTTCATTGCTGCCCATAAGCTATCCATTGGAATCTAGCATCCTGTAGACACACAGTCTCATTATATTTGATATTCGGACATGGCAGGCTGTAGTCTCTCAAAACCACTGTGTACCGCCACTTCCCTCGGGGTATAAGGTCTGCTCTCCCCAAGCCCTCTGTAGCCCTGTTGTCATGTAACAGTCAGTGTGTGTACATCCAGCCTATACATGCATGTATGTATTTGTAAAAAAGAACCAACACATGTCCGCTTTACAAATTAAACCGAGTTTAAAAGCACACATTCAGCTGTACGTGTGTTGAATGTAATATGAGAATGACTCAAAACATGAAGACGATCAAGCATACACACTGAACAAGGATTATATATGCGTTCAGTACAACTTGTGAGCACAGCTAGGCATTCATTTCTGGAATCCTGTGATCTCTTCTAGTGCCTGCCAGATGCCCTCCCCTGCCTCTAGGCTTCAGTATTGAGGAAAGCATACTGGAGCTCAGATATCCGAGATGACTGGTGTTCCTAGTGCCCAAACGATAGGGACCCACTGACCTCCGTCTTTCATGTCTTTCCCTCTCCCCAGCTTCACCAATGCCTCTTCCAGCAGCGGAAGCAGCTCCTCCAGTGCCCCTCTGACCTCCTACCAGAAGCTCAATGTGGAAAACGGTAAAGGGACTGGGAGGGAAGAGGGAAAGACACACTTTGACAGTGATGAGGAGGGAGGCCAGCTCAGGAAGATCCTTCAGGATTCGCTCACCTCAGTTCTCACCACAGGGCTATATGGCTATGCTGGCAACTCTATCTGGTGACTAGCTGAGACCACTAGGGTTGCCAGGTCCTTACTTCTTTCCAGCAGGGGGCTCCTCCCTTCGTCTGGCAGTCTATGGTGACCACAGAGTTTTTTCTTAAATGCTAGAGTGTCCCCCTGCGATGTGCCCTGTGCAATGACGTCACCTCTGGGCGACGTCATCGCGCCGGGCATGTTAGTGCAGATGGGGCTGCTTGGGGGCAGGGCTCCCCCTGCTGGCCAGCTGGGTGGCGGTGGATTGGGGCCCCTGACAGCAGGTAAACCCCAACCCCCATTACGGGGATGACAACCCTAGAGACCACTGTGGTGTCCACCAAACCAGGAACTAGGGCTAAACCATATGTGAAGCTAGGGTCCATGTTGTGAACATGAGGCCGTGATGCTGCAGAACGGTTTTTAAAACTCTTTACTACAACTAGTTCCCTGATTTAAAACAGACCTCCTCCCAGGCTGCTTGGAATCCAGGCACGGAGGAAAAGACAGGTGCCTGTATTGTATCTCTCTCCCCCCCCCGAAAATAAATATACAAACAAAACAAGCCAGTGAACAAACAAAAAACCTTAGCCCCAATAACCCCAACAAACCAAGACAAATACCGAAAGTAGTTGTAGAGTTGTAGTTTACTCCTGAATCATTTACATACCACTTAAAATACAGACACAGCAAATGGCTGAACACAAGAAAATATTAAACAGGCGGTCTGTACACAAGGTATTAAACAAGTGGTCACCTTTTTTAAAACAGAGGGCTTGCCATGTTCATCTCTTGTAAGAAAACAAAACAGAAGTCCAGGAGCATCCTAAAGACGAACAATATTTATTCCAGCATGAGGAGTTCTATGAACCAGAGCGCACTTCTTCAGATGCAACAACCTTTATATTACTTGAGACTTCTTAATATCCATATCAGCAGAATTTAATCCAGCAGTTGTGGACCACCCCAAGGAGACTCTGTTGAGGACGCAGGAGCTCTTGTGGAACTCCTCTTCATCCCAACCTCAAGTTCCAAATGAACCAAACAACGAGTTTGGTACAGAAACATAGAGCGGGAAGGGATCCTCAAAGTTCATCTAGTCCAACCCCCAAACAATACAGGAGATTCACAGCTACAGATATTTTGTCTCATGTGGCTTAAAGGTGTTTGAGAAGGTAGCCTTTCTGATCAGAGAGATCTACATATTTATATACTGCTGTTCTTCTGACAGAAGACCCAAAGCAGCTTATATTTTTTAGAAAGGGGCAAAAGAATTAACTTCACTCCAGAGCTTGCCTGGTTTGGAAACCAGTGGGCAGGCCCACTAGGGCTGCCAACCTCCAGGTGGGACCTGGAGATTTGCTACTACAACTGATCTCCAGACTATAGAGATCAGCTCTTCCGGAGAAAATGGCTGCTTTGGAGGGTGGACTCGCTGGCCATTGTACCCTGCTGAGGCCCCTCCCCAAATCCCACCCTCTTCAGGCTCCACCCCCCAAAATCTCCAGGTATTTCCCAACTCAGAGCTGGCAACACTAAGGCCTACTCAGAGCCACAGGCTGAGAGCCAAGGGCAGAGACCCCTTTGGCTTTTTAATACCTGGAAGAGGAAAGAAGACAAACAGCCTTTATCTTCTACAAGTGATGCTCTGTCATCTTGGTGTCATCTTTGTTGGACCTCCTGATGGCACCTGGTATTTCTGGCCACTGTGGGATACAGAGTGTTGGACTGGATGGGCCTTTGGCCTGATCCAAAATTGGCATCTCTTATGTTCTTATGTTCTTACAGCTGGTAGTCATATTCCTCCAATCCTGATAGTGGTAACAAAGATCACTCCCCCATCTAGTGTTATGGTCTCCATCCATATCCAGCTCTCCCTCAGCTGCTTTTTGCAGCTCAAATAAATATGCTGGAGGATCCTAAAAGTGTATGTGGTTTGAGCTTTGAAGGGGCCTCTGTTCATCTGCCTTTTCCTCCTCAGAAGAACACAGAGAAAGAGGCAAGTATCTAGCTGATGCTAATTAAGATTTATCCCTTTAGAAGTGTAAAAATTCAGTCGGTTTCAAAACAAATCTTCAGAGGAGGAATGTTTCCTTACAAAGAAAGCTCTCCGTGATAACCTTTCTCTAGAAGGTTGTCTCTTGCTGCACAACATTCTGGAAAATGGATCTTTCTTTTCCAAAAAGAGCTTTCTTTCTAAGAATAGGACATCTGGATTCACTGCCTCTGAGGAAAATCTTTTATTGAAATGTGATAACGTTTTAGCACTTCTTCAGGAATAAATGTTAACTGGTACCCCCTTAAGGCGCTTCTGTGTTTTTCATATTTTGGGTCTGCTCGTCTGCCATCTTTTCACTCTGTCTTCCCCACCCTACAATCAAGTTTAATTAAATTATCCTGCCTATCACCACATCTTTGACAAAAAACCCTTTAGTCTCCATAACCAGGGGTCCCTAGTCTTGTTGAGCTTGTGGATTTTGAGGACAAATAGTAGATGCCACCATAAAATGGCTGCCATTGTGGGGGGGGGATGTCCAGACATAAAATGGCTGCTATGGGGGGCTGGGGCCAGTCACAAAATGTTGAGAGGTTCCAAGCCAAATAATCCTCCTAACATAGGGACACCAGTTTCCAAATGAGTGCTTCCTAGGTAAAGGTAAAGGTTCCCTTGCTTGAAAGTCAGTCGAATCCGACTCTAGGGTTACGGTGCTCATCTCCGTTTAAAAGCCGAAGAGCCAGCGCTGTCCGAAGACGTTTCCGTGGTCATGTGGCCGGCATGACTAAACACCAAGGAGCACGGAACGCTGTTACCTTCCCACCGAAGTGGTCCCTATTTATCTACTTGCAATTTCTTGCTTTCGAACTGCTAGGTTGGCAGGAGCTGGAACTAGAGACGGGAGCTCACTCCGTCATGCGGCACCTGGGTCTTGAACTGCCAAACTACTGACCTTCCACAGCCTGCAGTTCAGCGTCTTAACCACTTGAGCCACTGCAGCTCCTTGGAGTGCTTCCTACAGGCCCCAAAAAGATGCTTCCTGGACTCTGCTGAAGCAACTCCTGCTCCAGCGAGGTGCATGAAAGCTGGAATTCGCTTGATGCTTTGGGGAAGAAGGAAGAGAGGGTGCTAGGAAACACACTGGGCAGGGAACACGGTTCCTATATGGGTTCTGCATCAGGGACCACTGCCATAAACTGTCATGTTGTGTCTTTCTATGTAACAAGGATGTCTCTGAACAAAGCTGAAGCCCAGTGACACTTTTAAGACTAACAAAGTTTAATTCTGGGTATAAGCTTTTGTGTGCATGCACACTTCTTCAGATACATTGAAGCAGATTTCCTCAGGCCTTATATATGAGGTGGAGAGAGGTGGGAGGTTAGTTGCCAGGAAGGGCTAGTTAGAGTCAAGAACTGGGTGATAAGTGTCGCTGAGATTGGATTAAAGCAGTTGGTAAGACCTGGGAATAGCAGCAAATTATCATACAAATAAAAGACCTAAGAAACAGATGTGAGAACCACGTTTGAGTCCAATGGCACTTTTAAGACCGACAAAGTTTAATTCTTGGGTATAAGTGTGAACTGAGTGACTTAGCATGTCTTTTATTTGTATTTTATTTGTATGTTAATTTGCTTCTATTCACAGGTTTTACCAACTGCTTTAATCCAATCTCAGCTATACTTACCACCCAGTTACTTATGCATCTTCACTTTAACTAGCCCTTCCTGGCAACCAATCCCCACTTTACCTATATGTAAGGCTTGAGGAAGTCTGTTTCAATGTATCTGAAGAAGTGTCCGTGCACACAAAAGCTAATACCCAGAATTAAATGTCGCTGGACTCAGACTTTGTTCTGTTGCTTCAGACCAATATGGACACCCACCTGAATCTATAAGGATGTTCCTGGTTGTCCCTCATTAACAGATCTTTTGTCTCTCACTGTGGTATCTTTCCATCCCATACAAAAACGAAGGTTGGGAGCAGTGTTCCCTCTAAGCTGAGTTAGTGTGAGCTACCTCACAGTTTTTTTAGCCTCCAGCTCACAGATTTTTGTCTTCGCTCAGGAAGGACGGCTCCAGAGCAAACTAATTTATGCAGCAGCCAAACCGCTTGCTTGCACCTTTAAGGCCAGTAGCTCAAAAAGCAGAATTTTTGCTCACAAGACTCCACAGTTTAGAGGGAACATTGGTTGGGAGTGATTGGACTCCCACCCACCCCCCAAAAAAAAGAAGAAGAAAAAAGAATAGAATGAGGGATACACCAGCAGGACACAAGAATACAGCCCTGTGCTTCAGAACAGTCCAGAAGGCGTCCCATATCTCCCATTTGCAAACAGCTGTCTCCCTCATAGGAGGACTCCTGGCTGTGGACAGCGTGCTGATGGGTCATCCCTAAACTTCGGCCCATTTCCATGGAGCTGTTCAGTCAGAATGCATGGCAAAGCTGGGTACACGGTGGGCAATGTTTATCCTCTTGAGACTGGGAGTCGTTCTTCCCTGGACTCTAATGCTGCTTTATTGGTATGTTTTTAATTTCCCATGCTGCTCGCTTGGACTGGGACGCAGGAAATGCCACAGACATCAATGACAACAGGTGAGCAGCCCCAGAGAGAGTCTCAACAGAAAGAACGGTCTTCCCGACCGTGGGCTGACACATTGGGCAGTGGGGAAACAATCTGGCACTTCTGGCCCCCCATGCATCAACTTCTCCTCTCCTGCAGAAGTGACCTGCCCTGCGGCATTGAAGCTGAGGAACAAGCCAAGCTCTTCCCGCTGCACCAGGAGACGGCAGCCAGCTAATAGCAACAGTGCCACCTACTGCCCAAGGGGCCTCAACACACCATCAGGTACCGCTCCTCTCCTCGGAGCTCAGCTTAAACCATTTCTGCTGGATCTCTCACACGGGCTCTTCCCTTTACCTGGGAATCTGTCCTGCCCATCTCTCCGCTTACTCTGACCATGCTGCTTCTTTCTCAGAAGGGTTGCCAGATATAAATTCAGCATGTATTTCGGGGAACGCTAGCCTCGCCCAAGCTGCATAGGATCACAGACAGGGGTGTGGGTGTTCGGTTGTTGTGGCCAAGAGCATGGGGCAAACAGTGCCCCCTGGGCCATTTCAAGACGGGGGAAAGTGCAGAGGGAAGGCTGAAGCCCCTTCCTTGTGCATGCTGTGGTCCTGATCCAAATCGGGTTCCCAAAGGATTTGCACAGACTGAGGAATGGGGGATAACATAACCTGTAATCAGGCCCCAAGAGGAGTTCACTTCCGGTTTCGTGTTAAGTCACCCATCTGTTTAGCGAGCTCCCACGCAGATGGGCCATAGCATCAAACGACACGAGATTTCCGGATGATCTTAGTTTCCACTCTAAAGGAGGCTCATTTGTTGAGCATGGTGGGACCAGTGGACAGGGTGCGTTAACCCTTCCTGCCTGCACTGTTTTCATGATCTAAATCACAATCCCAAAAGCTCCTTCTAGCCCCACCAGAGGACAAGGCCGGGAAAGGGAATGCAGGCATTACGTGCTGCCAGACACAGGGAACCAACCAGAAGAAAGATGGCATCCTCCATCACACCCTGCTTGTAAGCTTCAGAGGGGCATCTGGCTGCCCACTGCCAAACAATACAATCCTGACGTTCTTCATGCACGCTGGAGGTTGGAGGGACTCAAAACAGATGCTTGGCTATGAAAGGCCAGGGTCCTGCTCCACCCCCACAGCCTGGCTAAGTCAGAGTCCTCTTCCGCATTCTCATTTTTGTCTCTTGAGTGTCTCTATTGCTTCGGAGGGGGGAGGGTTTCCCCCCCACATCTGTTTTGCTCCCTCTAGTGGTTGGTCTGATACTATATAGCTGTATGTCCAGCAGGAAGACCTGCAGTTTCAATCTGCAGGGAGATATGCCAGTCAGACAGCAATGTAATATCGCATCAACCACTAAAAGGGAGCGAAATACGTATGGAAAAGGAAAAAAAACACACACCCTGAAGCAAGCGCTGAAGATGAGAATACGGAAGAGCCCGGGGCCTGCTTTTCCCAAGACCATTCCTACCTGCTCTTCTCCTCTTCTTTTTTTTCTCTCCTCTCTAGTTTCTAATCGGGACGGAAGCCTCAGCTCTGCATGCCGCAGCCCTGGCTTTCCATGGCCTCTGCTACAAAACGGGCCCTGTTTGTGTGTCCTGCTCTCTCCGTGTCCTGTATATTTATCCAGCTGCTGCTTCACTATCTCTCTCTCTCTCACTGTTTCTCTGTCCTACTCACTTAACTAGGCAATGATATATTCACTTTTCCGCCCCCCCTTGGAGAACCCCTCCTGTGCTCTCTATTCGAGGAGCTTGGTGGTGCCCCCTTCTCTCCTGCCCTCCGTCGCCTTAAGCAGATGCCACAAGGGCCGGTGGCCATTGAAGCCAGATGCAGAAGGTCCCTTGCAGTGGGAATGGGCTTCCCGAAGGGGTTACGAGATGCCACCTTCGTTTTGCCATATCTACCCTTGCCCGGTACCCGGCGACCCGTCCATGTCCACTGAAGCCTTACTGTGCCCTTGGGGACCTGAGCGCCTCCATGATACTAGCGAGAAAGGACAGCTGCTTCTTGGAGGGCTCTAATCGCTGTGGTGTGGATTAACGGTGCCCACCCCAAGTTCCGTAACTAGTTCATATCCCTCCCAAGGGTGTGAATGGGGTGGAAGGGAGAGCAACCAGGCCCTCCTCACCGAGCCCACCACAGTGCTTGAATCTCAGCCTTCTTTAGGCTTCAACCACATTTCCCGCCTGGGTTTACCGACAGGCGAGGGTCACCGTGGCGTTTTAGGGGGATGGCTAGAAAGCCGGTGTTCTGCAGAAGGAGAACTCCCTTGTGTTCAAAGCTCCCTTGTGTTCAAAGCTCAGCTTCGGTCAGTATAAAAGCCTATCCTTTGTCAAACTTTTTGCTCAAGAGAGGTGGCATTGACGGGAACAAAGACGGGGAACATGAGAACACTGTGGATCACAAGGGGGTAATGGAGATTGACAACTCCCCTGTGAGCCTGCAACTTGAGCATGGAGAGCACAGGGAGCTCCGTGTCATATAAGAAGGGGGAAAACAAGGTTATTCAGGGTATGCAGTTTGGCGGCAGGGGAGATGCTTGCAGATCATCCGGGGGGGGAGGGGTTGTCTGTCAGTCTTCTCGCATGTCCTGATCAACCACGTCCCCTGCCTATCCGGAAAGGCGGGCAAGGGTCTGACAGTTCTGCCAAGTGGGACAGAACCAGGCTGCTATTGACACATTTTGGGGGAGGGGGGGTGTTCCTTTTTATTCCCGCTTCTCTTGATTAGCTGGGGTCAGTGGCCTTTAGTCTGTGTTTTTCCACATATAATCACTAAGGGGAATAGTGAGTCCACCGCACATCTTCGGTTATTGTCGCCACTTCTGAATCACGCAGAGCAGACAGGATTGTGGGAGGAAGAGGGAGTGGCCATCTCTGGAGGGACCGCAGGCCCCGCTGCCGTCAGACTCCTCCATGGCAGCCATTCCCCGCTTGCCCTTCCGACGGGGGCTGCCGACACCCTGCCACTTTCTCCCTGTCTGCTCAGACCACACCAAAATGTTGCATGTCAGAATATTTAAAAGTTTATTTAAAAAAATAAATAAATGAACAACTATGTTAAAAAAACACCAGTGTCTCACTCTGTGTATTATTATACAGCAAATAAAAGGGTGTAATTTTCTTTACTTTCAGTTTATAGTTTCCTGAAAAAAATGATTAGGCTTTGTATAGTAGAGGGGGGGGGGAAGTCATCTAAGGTGTATCCTTAAGAAAGACTGAAAATTTCATTTCAGGAGATGGGGGTTTGTCTGAAAAAGATTTTAAAAAAGGTGTATGGTAGGTAAAATGGCATTTTTAAAAATCAGGTTGATGGGAAACCTTTTGAATTTCATTAAACGCAATGGAAAAAAGAACAGATTTCAGGTATTTGAAGAGACAGAAGGAATGCGAGTGCCTGAAAAACCACCTGCCTTTAAGTGTCTTGTGGCAACAATAAATCTGTTTACCTTCTAGGTGACCCCAAACTCCTGTTTCTTTTTCCTGTAACAGACTAACACAGCTATCCCTCCAGAAATTATTTGCATTAATAACACTGGGCTATTTACAAAGCTTCGAAACATTTGCATTGTTGATAGTAGGCACATCTAGGCCACCAGCGTGGGGCAAGTGCTGAACTAGAATCTGGAAGACCCCCACTTGGCCATGGAAGCTCACTGGGTGACCTTGGGCCAGTCACACACACACTTAGCCTAACCTCTACTTCACAGGTTTGTTGCGAGGATAAAATGGAGAAGGGAGGCAATGTTGTAAGCAACTGTGGGTCCCCACTGTGAAGCAAAGTGGGGTATAAATGAAGTCAATAAATAAATCTCTGAAGGCACTGAAGACATTGCTGCTAATGGATATCCTATAAGACATTCCACTCCACATTTGCACATAAGATCTTAGAGAGTCCTTGCAACCTCAGGCTCCATGTTCCCGGATTTAAAGCAGGAGTGGTCAACCAGTGGGCTAGATTTGGTCTGTGAAATGATTTTATCTGGCTCTAGCCAGGCCTGTCAAGTTAAAGCAAAGCTTTGCCCACAGTGTCATTCATAAGGAAAAAGAAAATAGTTTGAATCTGTTTTGTGGAATATTTCATCTCTAGGCTTTGTATACAAAGTCATATCCATAAACAATCTCATATCCTCCATAAGTACTTACCAATTCCCAGTGCCCACTATTAACTCAGATGGGGTGGCAATGCCCTCCTGGAGCACTATTTGATATTTATAACCTTGTGGCCACAGGGTCTGCGGATATGCCTTTTCAAGACAGTCTCGCCTTTCAAAATTATGAATGACAAATTCAAGATCTTTGTTATTAGCCTTTTAATAAGCCAGTTTGGTGTGGTGGTTAAGTGTGCGGACTCTGATCTGGGAGAACTGGGTTTGATTCCCCACCCCTCCACTTGCAGCTGCTGGATGGCCTTGGGCAAGCCATAGTTCTGTCAGAGCTGTCCTTGAAAGAGCAGTTCTTAAAAGAGCTCTCTCAGCCCCACCTACCTCACACAGTGTCTGTTGTGGGGAGGGGAAGGGAAAGGAGTTTGTAAGCCACTCTGAGACTCTGAGTGAAGGGTGGGGTATAAATCCAATGTTGTCGTCTTAATTCCACCTTTCCTCCAAGACACTCGGGACTGTGTACATGATACGGTTCCCTCCATTTTTATCTCATCTCACACGCCCTGAACATCACGGGAGGCATGGGCTTCAGAGTCTGATATTTAGACTATTTCTTTTAACTGTATGTTTTAGTTATGTGTACACCCTAATACATATTTTAATTTTTTTATATAATTTATATGTTAGCTTGACCCTCTTAGATCGCAGCTATATTTTGAGTTGAGTTCCCCCCCTTTTTTCCTCTTCAGATATTAATGTATTAATTAATTCATTCATTCATTCAATTGATACCCTGCCCTGTCCCACTCATGGGCTCAGGGCAACTTACAACATGTAATAAAACAGTAAAAGCAATAAAACCATCAATAGCACAATAAACAATATCAAACCCCATGCCTCATATCAGGTGAATATAGGTGCTCCAGTGTCCAATAATATTATCCGTCAACAGGCACTGGGTGAGGGGCAATAAACAGGGGAGGCCAGAATGGCTGAACATCCACCACCTCAATCAAGAGCCTGGAGGAACAGCACCGTTTTACAGGCCCTGCTGAA